AAATGCAGCTGCCTGCCATGCTTTCCACACATCCTCATTACTCACTATTCAGTCATGTCGGAGCTCCGTGGGGCCACGGGCTCTGAAACCCTGTTGTTCAGCCCCTCGCTTCCCACTCGAGGAGACTGAATGGCTGAGACACACATCTCCACATTAGCCGATTTAGAGCTAAAGACATTTATACTCCACAGACTTGCAGTCAAACGTCTTCTCCATACCTACAAACTAAGCTCTGATCTGGGGTCAGCCTTAAAAAGCATTCCTCAACAAAAATCACTTAATTTACCCCCCCAAACAATTAGCATTTCCTTTCTTCTCCCCCGTCTTTATTGCTCTGAAACATAGGTTTCCCCGCTGTACTTTCAGATGTATTATTGCTCATCATTAGCATAAGACAAACTCTGAGAGGAGAGCAGTTCTGCCCAGTGGTTGTTCTCGCTCTTTCACTTCCTCAATTTTGCACGAGAATATCTGACTTTACTGTAAACCAACAGGGTTAGAGACACCAGCGTCGGAAATACATCAGACGAATTCTGAGGAAACTCTGAAGGGTGTCGTGTTGAACACACTTATTGCAAGACGATTCAAACTGATTCAGGTCCATCGACACATCAACGGTCATGGTGTGCACCATGCTGCAGTCACAAGAAACAGCACAGAGGGAGCGCTATCGGCTACAGGTGCTTCGTTTGGATGAACTTGGATCAACTTTCAACAAGGTTTTCATGGTGATCATTAAGGCTGCAACTAAACATTTGTTGTATTATGGTTTACTGTGTTGTCTTTAATGCGTCAGAAAATAAAAACTGCCCATCACAAATTTCTCAAACATCAGGATGATGTCTTCAGATTGCTGGTTTTTGTGGATAAAAGTTCAAAACCCCGCCATGGAATTGAGTTTACCATCACATATGAGCAGGAAAAGCAGCAACGGCTAACATCTGAGACGCTGGAACTGCGGGATGTTTACGTGTGAAAAGGTCTAATTTGCGTTAAACAGATCTAAGAGCAACATTAAGACTGGTTTAACACTTCAGACCAGTCTAAAATCTCCCATACTCCAGTAACTGTATGAAAAGTTCGTCATTAAGCTTCTGAAAATGCAGATGTCACCAACATTTGTGAACATCAAAAGTTGCGACACATACAGCGGAGCATTACTCAACCTCTCAGCTCAGCGTAGCCCACTCTACTCCATGTTTAAAGTACAGACCGGTAACAAGGACAAATGACTTAGTGCTGACTTAACATGTTGCAAACGCTAAAAGAGGAGTCTAACCTGTTCTGTACTGAGACCATGTTGGAAAAAACAAACAACAAACACCAACAGTTTGCACACCGTCCTCGTTCCTGGAATAGCCTGTGACTGATTCAACGGCTTCCAGGACAAAGTGAGTTCGTTCTGGTGGGCCACCAGCAGCGTGGCTGTTTACTTGCTTTGGCAGGTCCACTCTAATTGGAAGTGATCCCCTGACCATATCTTGCTGAGATAACAGGGCGGGTCCTGCTGTGCTAACTTATTCAACCACTTTGCCTCTTCATCTGATCTTTGAAACTTTAGAAACATAACAAACCCGACATGTTTCAAATTCAAACACACTTCACCGTACCGTGAACTTTCACTCAAATGTAAAAGCAGAGAGAAGAGAGTTTTGTGTGTTAACTGATCTTCTTTCTCTCCGGGTTGATTAAAACTAGAAAAGACAATCATGTGAACGGGGTAGCAAAAAATTGCAGCAGTTTAGAAGCAGAGCGCGAGAGTGTTAAGGCCTCAGTTAGGGAGTGACAAAAATAAAAAAATAAACAAGAACCAGAACAGACAGGAGGCAGGGCCGGCGGTCCAGCCCAAAAAACAGAGCTGGTGCAGACCCGTCTGCTCAGCCCGGGGCGTCCCACAATCACAGCCATTCAGGGCTCCTGGAATGTATCCCCTGGAAGTTCAGGCAGGTCAGCTATCTGTGGAAAATAAGCTGCTCCCTTGTTTCCAGGCACCAAACTACAACCCCCAACACACACACACACACACACACACACACACACACACACACACACACGCCCCATCCCAAAACTGACTCTCCATCCCACCATGTCCTCACTCCCTCCCCCTTTGTGTTTAACTGCCAAGAGATAAAAATGGAAGGATGGCAAGTACAAGCACGTGTGTATTAAGACTAACCAAACTTTTGACAATTTGCCGTCACTCAACTCTGCACTGAAAAACAAGAGCTTAAACTTTAAAGTCATGAGGATAAAACTCTGTTCATCTCCCCAGCATTCAACCCTAATGCTTGTTCAACTGAACAACAGGACACACTGCAAGTGTCTCTTCACATAATTACTCTCCAGCGGTCCAACCATTGTTTTCCAAACTGCAGGAGCCCCAGTTGGTGCCGCGACGACACACTTTCCACCAAGTTGAACTCACACACACACACACACACACACACTTTGCAGCCGACCTTTCAGAACGCTTCTACTCAGATTACTACTTTGTGACATTCGATGTGTTGCGAGGAAAAATCAATCGTGTGGTTATTCGAGTTTCCGCAACAGAGTGATGACTTCATTTGTTGACCATCAAGACTTGTTGACGTTTGTAAACTTGGCAGCTGGTTTACTTCCCTTTTGTTGGGACAGAGTTCATCGGCTTGTTTGCCGATACGAGTGGCAGTCTTTTAATCTGGCAGAAACAAAATAAAGTTTATGAAAATATTTCTTGTGATGAGATGACACTGATGAGGAACAATGACCTCCCACCAGGCTCTTGTATTTCACACTCTCCAACAGCCAAAAAGCAGACTGTGGCTGAACTAGGTCTCTCAAGTGTGAATGTGTAGGCTACATGGGTCGGGGTGATGTTTAAAAAACTTCTCATCACCCGCGGAAGACGTTCCGACATCACTTCAGACTGCATTTGTCTTCGCTGCTACAATTAACACGCCGCTGTTCTTCAGCTTGGTGAATGTAATGTGTGATGGATTTATCTGTCCCAGGGGCAGGCAGCTTTATCTCTTTACTTGAGAGACGCAGCACGCTGACCAGAGACGCTAACCATCGCACGCTGAGGGGAAATCATTCTAATCTCGCAACTCCACACCCACAAAGCTTTGTTCCACTTCTGCGATGGACTCTAACTCAAAACAGAACCACACAATGAAATTTGGAAGAGATTCCTCGACGAGGCTCAGCTCGTGCACAGAACAAGTCACCTCGGACAAGACTTTGTAAATCTGTGTCCCGTTAGATTGGTTTTCCAAGAAATATGTTTTTTTTGGTCCTCGCAGAGATTTATGAGTTGACAAGGAATTTGAATTAAAACTGCCATATCCAGTTTGGTGTTTGCAGCCATGCGGTTTAACTTATCTTTCTGAAACATTGTCACAAAGTGTGGCTGAAGCACCACTGGCTATGTAGCAATTTCGTTGCAAATCGGACAACACAAAAAAAACTGGAACCTAAATTATAGCAGCCCTATGTGGGACCCTATTTCACACAGCTTTTTCTTTTTTAAACTTATGACAAGTGTGCAGTTTCGAGTATCTAAAATGTACAATCTCGTGGAAAATATGAGGAAATGTGCAGAGAAGATTTAAACCCATCACAGGTCAGCAACAAAGCAACAGTTTGTTGAACTGATGCGTTAACAGGGACTCGTCTGAGAGCCACGGCAGAGGGCAGCCATCGACCCGCTGATTCAGTCGGGCCGTGTCATCGCTGCCACGGACACAGATAGCTTACATTAGCCTGCCATCAGTGCAACAGTTGTGTGTTTGTGCACCCGTCTGTCCTCTCTACCTCCCCGTTAGTCCTGTCCTGCTGCCAGCATCACTATAGAGACAGCCACTGATGTCACACCTCTCTCTCTCTCTCTCTCTCTCTCACTCTCTCACACTCTCTCACACTCTCTCACACACACACACACAGAGAGAGGAATGACTAGGAAACGGGCACTGGCTGTTCCTCTCATGAAATCAGTGACAACACACGTTTTTGCCCTCAGCACACAATCAACCCATGTGTTATGCTGCTGGAATAAAGTCTGTTGGTAAACAATGATTTGCCTCAGGAATAACTAGACTATGAGAGAGAAAAACACAAACGCCGCCTCCTCTTCTAGCTGTACCTTTCACAACGACCACTGAAGAACAGAACAGAGCACACGGATAAGCACTGAGGTATGAATCAAATAAATTCAGGATAGACAATGCACATGTGTGTGTCTCTCCTCGGCTTGCTTGTAATGCCAAAGAGGGGCAACACTTCAGCAAAAGCTGTGACGGCCATCTGACAGACCCTTCAAATAGCTACAGTGTTCACATTAGAAGAGTACAGTAGGATAGTGAAGTACCGTCGGTATTTACAAGGTATAAAGTTGGGAGGCTGGGATTGCTGCCCAGGGCAAGTTGACTAACCGTCTCTCCGAGACAGACAGGAGAAGAAGAAAAAACGGCTACATTTGGAGAGTTATGCCCCCTTAACACAAACAGTCTGTATGTTTGAATGGAGGCTTGAGGGAGGAGGATGTGGGTTTTGAGAAGAGGTAAGTTACTATGCATTGTTTTGTGGGTTGCCTATCATTGACAAAGACAGTCTCTGCCCGTTTATATTGGCTCACTATACCTCTAATACCTCCTTCCTCTCAATGTACAACTTCACACTTAGACACAGAATTAAAAAAGAAGCGCTTTGTTTCATTGATCCTTAAATACAACCAATCATTTTATAGTTAGTGTGCCTTATTTTGGCACTGGGAGAGGCGTTCTCCACAGCTTGGTGTATGACCACAGTGCAGAAGAATGCAACGAGGATGTTTAATATGAGGGGAAACTTCCAGATACACACTTACTACCTCCAACAATGCATCAGTGCTGCTCCAGGTTATGGTCGCTCATAGATTCAGGCAAAGTGATAAATACTATAATACTGCTTGATCGCCCACATTTGAACAAAAAAAAAAAAAAAGCAGAATCATTTCACATATTTGTATTATACCCTCTTACCTGTCCTCATCCACATCCATTGTAATATGGATGCCAAACAGGCTGTTGACAGCAGGACTGGGCAGATTGAGGCCCCCGCCGATGAAAGGCATGACACCGTCTTTCCCTGCCACCACAATGGACCGGTTATCTTCTGTCTGGTAACTGAAGATGGAGGGAAGGCTTGTTGTTGCTCCTCCGTGGGCTCCGTAGGGCATGACAAGTCCTCCTGTGCCCGGTGTCTGACTTTGCACTCCTGGAGGGGTGATGGTGGTACTGGGCACTGTGGCAGGTGCGTTCTGGACACCGCTGTGGGAGGTGGTGGAAGGTGCAGGGGCTGCGCCTAACCCTCCTGAAGGCTGAGTCTGGCCCGCATGCTGCTGTTGGCCACTTCCTGGGAGGATGGGTGCCATGGCTGATGTATTCCCTACTTGCAGCAGGAGACCCTGGGCTGAGGCTGCCTCTCCACCAAGCCCTTGGGCTCCCGGACCAGCAGGGGTGATTAGAGGCGATGGTACCTGGCTAGTTGAAGGCCCCACGGGGAGAGCAGACATGGGAAGGTTCTGAGTGCTTGAGACAAAGTGCTGCTGACTATAGTCCGGCTGACCAGTTGAGAGGCCAGTAGGATGAGTAGAATAGGCAAACTGCTGGGCCTGCATGGCAGGAAGCATAACGGGAGTCTTCTGATGCACGGCACCGGGGTGCACACCATTGAGGCTGTTCGAGAGGAAGTTCTGGGGAGCAACAGGCTGCATATTGACCTGAGCCTGTTGTGGTTGCTGCGATGCTGTAGTTGTATACCCCGTGGACTGGAAGGCACTTGCTCCGCTCCCTACCTGAGGAGCCCAGCTGTAGCCTTGCTGCAGAAGCTCTGAAGGGTGAGGGTGGACTGGGTGGTGCACGGTGGAGTAGCCACTGTCCGTGGTGTTCTCCAAAGTCTGTGCAGAAAAAGCACTGCTAGTGACCACAGAGTTACTGGTGGGCCCGAGCCCACTGTCCCGGTCTATACTGTGATCGAGGGTCACAGTTGGCTTTATGCTATCCACAGTTCGATTAACATTTGAATCAGAATCTCTCTCGTAGAACTCAGTGCACGTCCACCTGCCCCGTCTGAAGGGTTCTCCAGTGCCATGGTCAAGTTTAATGACCCTGAAACGGGAAATACAGCTGCTGTTCACGGGTGTGTGAGTTACACTGGTGGAAATAGTGGCAGCGGGGACTGTATTGATGACTGACGGATGGGTGGCTGAGCTCGGGACAAAGGGTTGAGTTGTAGCTGGCACAGGCCCTCCTAAATGATGTGGAGTGGCACGACCAGTGCCTATACTTTTATAAGAGAGTCCCCCGTTTACAGGGGCCGTGGTGGGCGGCTGAGCCTCCTGATGCTCCCCTACGTTGTTTAAGGTTTCCTCGGAAGAACTCCGCTCACATGCACCTAGGTCGGCCCGACCGACGTCAAATATTTCCGACGACACGTCCTCTGTCCGGGATTCGTCCGGATCGTCGAGGCTTTCAGTGTCGTCAGTGATGCTGCTGGCCGCCACCTGAGCCTGCGTTACGCTCGTGATCTGGAAGCAACTTTTCTTCTTCGCCGGCATTTTCGACATGTTGACTACCTGCGTAAAGTCTGTCTTCTTCCAGATGAAACAAAGTGCTGGACTTAATGTCCTGCCAAAGTAACTCACAGCCGACGGATGTGACACAGACACGTACAGTCACAGGACATTTCCATTCCGTATCCCTTCCTCCCTCTTGTCGGAGAAAAGTGTCACAACCGAAGCCAGACCCCTACAAACTCCCGAAATGGTCCGCCGTGTGCGGTCGCAGCACGCTGGTGACTGGTGCTCCTATTCCGGCCTCTCTCTGACACCCGGTCGGCCTTCCCCGTGTCCCGACTGCGGAGTTGCAAACAGGCCCTTGTCAAAGTTCTTGTTCAGCTGCTGCCACCGGTACTTTAGTCTGAGGCGGGCCCGGTCTCAGCCCACTCTTCTCACTCAGCTCTGTATTTATCACCGACTAGCTAAGTTAGCTGATGGTAGCTAGTTCCCCCTACCTCGGTACCAGCATGTGAGAAATCATGATGTAAACAAATCCATTATCTTTCCAAAAAAAGAGTACATAATCCAGCGGTAGACGGAGAAAACCTCTCAAAGTCTGTGAAGTTTTGCTTCTCGTCGTGTGGACAGCTCACTTTTGGCAGCTGCTCGTAGCAGCTAGCTGACAGATAACCACTTTACCACAGCGGCAGAAAGCTAACGCGGAGCTAACTCCTGCCTGCCGCTCTCCGGACCCAACCACTCGACAAGATGGCAAGAGCGAAGTGCATCCTGGGTATTGAGGTCAAACTAGTTTTCTGTTATCTCAAAAAATAAATATATACAAGTCAACAACGCCACAGACGTGTGTCTTATGGTCCACACATGACGTTGTTGCGGCTGTATTTAATTTTAAAATAATTTAGTTCGTATTACGTGAATAAATTGTCTCTGAACTATCGCTGTCGCCGACGTCACTTCCGGTTAACGTCCCACCCGGTAGAAGCAGGAAAGAGTTCGCCAGCAGTCGGCAGATGTTAGTTATTGGCTGATGTAGGGTTTATAATTTGGAGATTATACATTCAGATAACCTAATTAATTACAAATACAGTTTAACAAGTATGCATTTGTATTTACTTTTGCTTATCATCCAGTCATAATCTGAAACCATTTATATTTAAATGGACCGTAGAACGTCTGATGTTGCCTGACAGAAGCAACTTTTCGGTTTTTGGAAACATCTTTTTTTAACTGATCTATGTTGCCCGGGATTAAAGTCTGACTAATTCTTTCAATCAACTGTGTCATAATCCTAATGCTTACTAGGCATAATTTTGCTTAACGAAGGTGACATCCATAAATGCACTCTTTACATGTGTGTGTGTGACTGTGAGATTAATAATAGTGTGTATGCTATAATTTTGGTCACTGTGCACATGTGTATATGTTACACAAATCAAACAACATACAGACACTCAAGAAGGATAGAATTAAAATGAAAAACATAAATTATAATAAACTGAACTGAGAATGAAACTGAACCAAACTAAAACTAAACTTATGCACCAAATCATGTGAAATAGAGGAAATCACCTCATGTTGCCATTGATGGAAGAAAATCGGATGTATAAACTTGTCAAGGCATGAAAATGAATCATTTATTAGCCATAGCAAAGCAGTCTCAAATCACTCCTCTTGTGTGAAAGTCAATTTTCAACTGATTGTTAGATACCAGCACACCTCTCGCTCTTTCAATAGAAAGATGGTCTGAAAAGACTGAAACAACAAAAGCGTTGATCACATGTAAACTCAGGATTTTACTTGCCAAAGTAATACTCTACCAATTATGGAAAACATTAGGTTTGCACATTGCCATATCGTTCATATCCAGTCATGTCCAGGAAGCAGGAAATGCCTCATACATATGGCCCATGACTAAGGTGACCCCTAAGGGTAAAGCACAAAACAAAACACATTCAATCATCAAATGGAATACACTCCTGTCTATGTTTGGTATTTGCAGCATTTATTAATCATTTGGACAGTTTTGTCCTCCAGTTCTAACAAAGATTGTTGCATGTGTTATCTCATTGGACATAGACCTAGATATTAAATATGTTCCTAAGAAACAAGATTTACCATCACACTATAATTACGTTTTTCCATCAGATTCTTAAGGAACTATTATGAACGAGTAAAACTGAGGCCCGAACTGCAGCACACACACTAAAGCAGGACAGAACTATTCACAATTTGGACAGAAATTACAGATGTTTGAAATACGGAGGTTTGGGCCTGTAAAACACCTCTTATTAGGATATTGTAATGCATCCTTAAGACAATGACCAGGTCATTTAAAAATTCACATCTTGTATGACCACGATGACTCATATGTGACTTCGGCAGCTCTCGTAACATGTAAGGTGTGAATGACGGTTTAAATAATTTGGACTCCTTTTGGAAAAGAGGATACTTATTTTTAAAAATAGCACCTTTAGTCCCTAAAGTAACTTGTTTACCTTATTTCACCCACAATTAATTACTTTATTCCCTGATGGTGACTCATTAGCAATGAACTGGTGATGGAGGTTATTGCTTCAATAAAGACCATTGAAGGCTTCTGATAGACGCCAGGACAATTTGTCACAAGATCAACACATGACACAAAGAAAAATAAACGAGTCATGACGTTAGCTTATGTTTGAGGGACGTCAATTCTGATGGTGGTCAAGAAGTTGTTTTTTCTTTAATTGCCTTCTCCAAAAAGTATTGGAGGAGGAATATTTTCTGATTAGTAATTTTCTGATGAGCCAAAAAACAAGTGATTCGTTTTTGTTGCAGATCTTGATTCAACCACAGATCAGGAGTTTTATAAAAAATTTCACTGGGGGACTACTGGTAGCCTTGGGGGTAACCATCTCACTGTCCTCAGTTAAAGTTACATGCAACACCTTCCATCCTTTGACCCTCATGAGAAAGGGTTAATATTAGGTTTTGTGTATGCTCAAGGACAGACTCAAACATGTGACCTCTCTACCTCATCTCTTAAACCAAATAGGTCATCTTCCCATTATGTCTGTCTTTATTTACTGCATTCTGTTTGATTTTTAAAAAACGCAAAGTGTGAAAGAAATGGCAATACAAATCTAACTGTAGTGTTTTCATCAACTTTCTACACGGTTGGTGAACTGAGAGGTTAAAAATAGCTCTGTGGTATTATTCCCCTGATATGACTGACTAATCATTGAATTACAGTTACATAATTTCCGGTTGCCGACTCACAAGGTCTGTCTGATGAAAACAATTTCATGCAGTCCTCAGATAAGACAGAGGAGACGGAAAACAAGTCAATCTAAATGTGTGTTGACACAGTAATAAAATACACCATTTCATTTGTATTCCTGTTGCATTTCATAAGGGGTGGAAAAACAAATAAAATGTTTATTACGCAAACAAATAGAAGTAAGATTACTTGTGTGGAAAGCTATAAGGCTCTTTTGAAGACTGTGGCCTTGTGATCGAAAGCATTTATTTATCAGTTTGTCTAAAAAAAGTACCACAGTGTGAAAAAGCGACTGAATTACAGCATGCTTTAAATAAACATGAAACATTACTGCTTACTCCTCTCTTATAAACCTGGGTATAACTCCTGAAAACAATGTTGCAACATCAGCTCCAACAAGACCTATAAACTTAGACGCCCTTCTTTAGTAGCGGGCTGTGCGTGGGCTTTCCCAGCCCCAGCCAAAGTGTTTGTGTAGCTGGATGTGTTTATTTGCTCTGGTCTGAGGGCGAAGACTAACAGGCTGTGCTGCGGCGCGTCACAGTCCAGCATGCTGGGTCCACTTTCAGTGTACCACCGCAGTAACAAGACAGGCGTTGTACCGCTGTATTTTGGGGCCCGGGGTCCTGGCCAGCGGTCACTCTCAGCAGCCCAACCTGGGAGAACTATGGCCTTTAGCAAAGCAGCATGGGGCCGGAGAGTGCACGATCAACAAACAGACTGACCAAACATCACTCAGCACTTGCTAAAAAAAGGGGTTCCCCAGAGAAAAGGGCACAAGGGGTTGGTTCAGGGTAACTTGACCAGCCTGAAACAGAATGATGAAATAAGCACGTGAACATTGTGCATGGTTTCAGGTTCATTGGGCTCCTTTTTCCAGAGAAACATAAGTTGGCTTGTTAGTTTTTGATCTGAACTATTTACTTCCCTGTGTCTGACTGCTAATAACAGTAAGTGTTAAATAAAGGTAAATTGCCGTCATGTTTGTGTGTTTCAAGGTGGAGCTCCAACTCTTTTTCTTTCAAATAAGCCTCCTTTTAGCTCCAAATATTCAAGACTCACAGAACAAGCTTGGAGTTAAAGTCTGGTGTAGTTTTGGAGATCAATGGGTGTATTTTTTCTGTTGAGCTATGAATGTTCCTCCTGTTATTTTTCACTACCTCATGAATTCCTTCAGAATAGACCTATTTGGGATTCATAGTTCAGTTATTACACAATATCCTGAGATTACATAATACTGTATGTGAATAATGTACAGTAATGTGCAGAGGGTCTGTCTGTATGGTAGAGCGGGAAGGAAAGAGTCTCCAAAGACACAGACATGAAAATATGTTGACGCTTATACACTCTTATTTCATTTTGTTACAACCCGGCTCAAAGGCTGCAACATAAATGCAAGTGCAAAATTAATAAATAACCACATTTATGAAACAGATAATATTAATAATTAAACAAAACAACCGTGGAAAATCAGTACTCAGTGATGTCAGCATGTGTGGCTGTGTGGAATTGTCTGAAACAAACAAAACAGCAGCCATGTCAGCCGAGGAAGAAACTGTCAATGTTCAGGTGGAGAGACTTTAAAGCTGGAACCTCACCAGGCTCAGGTGTGGCTCATCAGCTGATGACCAACATCCTGAAAGACAGAAAAGAGCCAGCGAACGGGAAAACAGACCCGTAGTGGAAAGGAAGGGTCGTAACAATATGGTGTTGCAATTTTATAACACGTGTGTATATTAACTGACAGATACTCACAGAGGAACATAAGATCACCAAAGAAATATTATTTCCCTTTGGGCCATTTGTCCCCAAAGTCAACAGGCAAGAAAGCTAGATGAGAAGTTGTGATTGTGCCATCAAGATGTGAATCATTTCTTATTCAGCTACTTGTGTAACATGCATTCCTTCTAACTGCCTTCAAAGACAGGTTCATACACTTAACTTTATTACATTACGTGTTGGCATCACAAGGGAAACTGGTGAGAAGGAAAAGGAGGGGAGCTGTTGAAAGTAGAAAAGTACAGGCATTTAATGGCACAAAGAACATAGAAATGGCTTGTGCAGCTACTCTAAAGTTTGATGCTCTTCCTCAGGGAGAGAGTTTTAAGTTGCTACAGAGCAAAGTACACTGAAAGCTGAAATGTTCAACAATACAGGCCCAACGTCTTATCATAACAGCAACAACAACATTGCTGTACAATTAGAATGTGTTTAAATTCCCTAATCACCAAAAATCACAAGCTACCAAAAAAACAAGGAGTACAAAGTGCAGGGTCTTGGAGTCTTAAAAGCCTTACAACACAATAAATAGTGCCAATTACCCTGAAAACCGGGGTAAAATAAGCACAGAGAGGGTGAAATAGCATTCCTGGTGGAACAGATTTTGAGCTGTTATCCAATTACACAAGTTCTGATTCATTGTTAACAACTGCAGACAAAAACAATAGAAATCTCCCCCAATGTAAGCACTTGGCCTAAAAGATTATCTCTCTTCAAA